CTAGTTAATTACTTGGCAGTTGATTATACATTTCTACAAAACCAGTCTTCAGAGTTACCAATCGTCTACAATAGAATTCTAGGCTTGACAGTTGATGTTGATTTCACGAATTTTTTTGCAAAACCAAGGAACATAAGAACATCGGAAGAATCAACTGAGCAGCCAACACAACCAGTGGATTTGGATGGATTCTATCGATTACTCAGCGATCCATTCATATCAGCAAAGTGTATCAAAAGAATTGTTTTACGCGTAGCACACATTATATATGACTTGAACTTTGACTTCCTTTTAGCACAAAAAATTCATCTGCACTGTTTTAATTGTACATTTGATAAGTTAACACGTCTTCCAAGGAATCTGGAGGAGTTAAACATCAGCCAATCAAAAATAAATGTGAAACTGGAACTACCTAAAGAATTAGTTTCACTTGTGATCAAAAATACCTGTATTAGTTCAGAGGGATCTTTAGTTATAAATGAAAAATGCAAAAGAGTTACAATTTGTGAAACAAGAGGAGATATTCGTTTTCCACATGTTTGGAATTTGCATGCCATTGCATTTTCGTACATCTTTAAGAATGTCGATTTAGAAAGGAACTTGGACGGTAGCTTTAGAACTTTGTATATTTCCAATGCAACGATTATCGAGAACATAGAACTCGGCCGTAACACAAATGTTCTTTATCTAGAAAATGTAAAAGTTACTGACAATACCACGGTTAGAATACATGGATCATGCAAAAAGATTACAGTGATGAAATGCGAAAGAATTGTTGATCTAACTGACTTTGCTACCTGGTTAAAATTCAAAGTACAAGCTTCTTCATCTGATTTTATGTTTATTAGTGACACAAGGAGAAGTATACGAAAAACATACATTCGAAACGTTCAATTTGATGTGTATGATGATTTTAGAGAAAATGATAGTAATTCTGAACATAACATCTTAAATAGTGACTTGTATTGTGGAACTGATAGCGACTTAAATGTGAAGGAAACATATATTATCAGCTCTCCTCTAGATCTACCTTTCCTCTGCTATGTCAAAGTGATGTCTCGATTATCTAATGATTACGATTGGTGGCTTTACCAATGTATTAACAACAATGAACAAAGTGAAATTATCCTAAAATATGTTAAGATCAACAAAACAATATCGTTTGGTATGAATGTCATTCAAAAAGTATTCTTGGTCCATACACAAATTGAGAATGGATATATTTTTGAAATCAACGCTGGATACAACAGTTTGTCAATCAAATATTGCAAGGGCCGGTTTATCATTCCTGGAATCCAAATCGCTAGAACAAGACAGGTATATCTATCTAATGCCCAAAGTATTATGCAGTTTCACAAAGTAAAGGATGATGTTTACGATTGCAAAATAGTTGAAAATAATTTTAACGAAATGATATTGATTTCACATAAAATACGAACAGCCCTGCTACGGAACCTGCAATTATGTGATGATATCGGATTAGAGTTTCTTAACAGATGCAAAAATCTATGTTTGGACAACTG